TAATCATGGAAAAGCAAGTTAAAACCATGGTAAACATCATTTTTCCTCACTAGATTGGCATAAATTAGTATAAACACTGCTAGTAGTTAAGTGGTAATTTAACCATTTTGGAAAACAATTTGGCCTTATTTTGTTAATTTGATTGTTTGTGTTCTATGTCCCTTCTACATCTAGTTATATACCATAGAGAATTCTTAATGTTTGATATATGAGACAAGTGCAAGAATGTTTATAGCACAATTATTTGTAACTAAAAATTAGATAAAAATTAGAAACAATCCAAATGTTCTTTGACAGGATAAAAGATAATTTGTTGTATTCACACAATGGAAAACACTATTATGCAGCAGTGAAAATGAATGAACTACAGCTACAGCATGCAACAATACAAATGAATCTTAGAAACACTGAGTGAAAACAAATTGAAGGTTATATACAAAATTATGTTTTGATAAAGCCAAGAAACAAGGAAAACTAAACAACATATGAGGGTACTTCAAAAAGTTTATGGAAAGATTCATATTATCTTTCAGTTCTATTTTTCCACAAACTTTTTGTAGTACCCTTGTATAAACAGTATGTTGTTCAGGGATACACACATATAACAAAACTATGGAGGGAAAAAGCAAAGGAATGAACACACAATTCAGGTGATGCAGCTGAATGGGAGAGAGAAGTACTCAGATGTACTGGTATTGTAAAGGTTCTAGGTCTGTGTTATCCAATATGGTAGCTGCTAGCCACATGTGGCTACTTAAATTAACCAAAGTTAGATAAAATTTAAAGTTGAGTTTCTCAGTCACACTAGACACATCTCAATTGTTAGTAGACACATGTGGCTTCTGGGTATCATATTAGACAATGAACATATAGATAATTTCCATCATGGCAGAAAGCTTTGGTGGACAATGCTGTTCTAGACCATAGGCAGGTGGGTTGGTTCATTAATGTTTGCTTTTTTTTATTCTCTAAAATATGTGGGAGAACACACACACATACACATACATATCTATTCTTTAGTTTGTATTAAATGTTATATTTA